CTCCAAGTAACTAGCCAAAGTAAACAAAGAAAACAAATCATATTAACTCGATGGACTTCAGTCTTAAACCCGCAACACTTTTTAAGAACTCGTTTGAAATGAATTCAAAATTACCTCATGTAGAAATTGACAATTTCTGATGATAGCTGCTGTGAAGGTTCAAGGCCATTAGTGTCCATAACATTAACAATATCACACCTGGATGAAGTGAAAAAAAAAAAAATCAATAGTTAAAAGTTTTGTAGCATTAGGAGGAAGGGTGAATCTTGAACAGTGAATATTTTTTTTATGAGTTTTGAACCTCTTTTTCCTCTTGAACCTGCCTTTCCTCTTGAGACGTACAATTAAAGCATCTTTCTTCTGTATACGGAGCCTGAGCGTAGCCACCTGCTCCCGCAAGGCTTGGTTTATCAGTGCATCTTGCAGGCGTTTCTGTTTCTTACGCTTGGCAGAGGCGGAGGAACGTTTCTTTGGAAGAAAATTGGAATTAGCTACAACTTTCCTACGCTCAACGACATGTTTCTTATGAGCCACATGTTCCTTATGAGCCGGTTCTTTATTCTTTTGAGGAATTGCAAGCAAAGGCTCGGAATCATCTCCTCCATGCCAACTAGACTTGCTGAACCGGTGGCCGGTAGTTATGAGGCCCTCAAGGTAATCAACACTGGTGTCGGTGGTCTCGTCACTCCACTTCCCCCAATACTTGGATCGTATATGCGCAATGTCAATGATTGGGATGACTTTCAGCTGTGAAAACATAGACATGTGTTAAAAAGCTCAATGAAAGTTGACAACAGAGATCATAAAAGTAACTACCTTAGATTGGTTTTCCACCTCAAGCACATCCATAAGAGTGAGACAAGGATACTTAGGGATATTAATAACCGTCAAGTCTAAAAGTATCTGAGGTTCTGAGGAGGCGGGCAACTTGGCGAGAAGTGCTGGAATAGCACGGAACGCTACGAGTTGCAAAACTAGAGGGAAACCTTGTAGTCTGTATTTCCGTTTGAGCTGATTTCGAAAAACGGTTACGGCGTCTTCGCTAGGATTCGGTTTCATGCAACGAATAGTGCGGAGGAAAGACTCACGGCCCCACGGGAACTCCAGAAACGCATCAACATCTTTAACAACCATCTGTACATACTTGAGAGTAGGACGATTAACTTGGGATTTGCTGATAAGAACACCATCAACAATCAGAATCAGCGCAAGTCCGAGCTTCCGGGAATACGACATTTCCTCCTTGTCCTTGTCTTCCTCAAGCATAGAGGTTATATCTGCAAGTGTAGTACGTATATCGTCACCAATGAGTTGTTTCCAGCACGGATCAACGCTACGATCATGCTTAGGATCGTCGTCCGGGTCGTGGTCCGGAGGGAATTTCCCGCAGTGCAAACCAGTAATCTCTCCAAACTCGAACAGAGAAAACCGTAGAGGGAAACCACCAAAAACAGTCCACAGAACATACTTCATTTCGGTGACGAGCTGACGGGTGAGCAGAGAGTGGACAAGCTTGCAGGAGATTGGGCATGTGTTGAGAGGAAGTTCGAAGAGCTTGCCAAAGCATGATCCCCTGATAGTTTCCCAGACTTGGGTGCCTTTGAGGGTTTGGTGCAGAAACGTCAGCGTATCGAGTTTGCAGTAGATGTTTAAGGTGTGGGTGGGGAAATGATCTGTGGCGAACAGTCGAGGAGGGAGATTTGGGTCGTGAGAGTCCATTTCTTCGGAACCTGTAATTAGGGTTTTGAAGGAATTAGAGGAATGAAAACCTAAATCGAGATTGGGTGTGTAGAGTGAAGAACAAGTGTGGAAAGTGGTAAAGATTGAGACCGTGAGCGGCGGAAATGAAGGTGAAGAGGAGCGTTCGTCCAAGGGTGGTGTTATGGGCTTAAGTAACAGCCCACTAGGATCAAACCCATAAAAGTATGGCCCAATTATATTTCTGGTTACAATTTTCCAAAGTTCTAAAACGCCGCCGCCGCACCGCCTAGGCGGCCGAGTAGGCGTTCGACAGTGGTCAACCGCCGCGACTATGGTCAATTCGGTTTAATTAGTCGGATACCCGATTAATTATTTTGATAACAGACTAATCGTTTTAAAACCGATTAATTCCGCCTAAAACCGACTTAAACCCATTCAATATTGGACTTCTTTGGCAAATATTTGGGCCATATAACAAGCCCACTCGCTTGGAATGAAAGGATTCATTCTCTGTGTATTTATAGGAGTTACCAAGACTCCTCTTTCTCATGTTTAGTCGATGTGGGACAAATGCAAATTGGTTTTGAATTTTTTTTTGTTTTTTACTCGCGCTAATTAAAAGAAAAGAAACATGGTGTCTCAAGAGAATCAAACCTTACACCTATGCAGGGGCAGAGACTCCGTGAACCGCTTACTATGCTGTCTTCACAACTAACTTTCACATGTATTAATATATAATATGTATATTTATAATTAAAAAATATAAAAATTAATCCCCGATTATATCCAGATTAATCTTCGCTTTTTTATTAACTCGCTAGGCCCGGAATTGCAGCCCGACTAGCGCCTAACGTAGTTTCAAACATTGCAATTTTCTAACATCTCGTTTGTTTTCATATTTGCAGATCTCAGAACATATAAAATGTCTTAATGAAACGCACAAAAAAATACGTTAAGTTTTCAAATTTTTTAAAAATATATTTTTCAAAACTATGTAAAAAATAATTAACATTTATTTTCGATAAAAAAATTTAAAAAACATTTAAATGTAAAATATTATTTAAAGTTGAGGGATGTCAAACTCCACCTCACTACTCCGTCTAGTTTTCTAATTCAGAATAAATATCTAATTATTCAATTATAAGGGATAACTTGAAAATTACCCTACTTTTAGTTCATAATTTGAAAAATACCACTACATATATTTTTTTCTTTCTAAACTACATTTTCTTCAATGTGATAAAACATTTTTATTCGAACTAATTAAAAATTATATGTTTTAGTTACTAATATACATATTCAAAATATGATTATTCATGTTAAAGATAAATATATGCTTAAGATATAAATATATTATTTCAAAATAACACTGATACATACGAAAGATTCAACCCCCTATTATGATTCACAAGAATCACAACTCCTCTGATATTGTCACACCATCGTGTTGTTGGTGGAAGAGATCAAAATGGTGACATTGGTGTTGTGAGGAAGTGTTGGAACCACCACCTCTTCAATTTTAAACTTAAGGTAATCTTATCTAGTTTCTCAGTGTTCTTAAGCACAAGTTCCACTAATGAAGACACATACTCAGATTTCAAATCCTCACAAGTCACAACACTTGTTCCAAGAGGCTTCATCTTTTGATCTCCAGCATTTGTTTACGTTAAAGCCTTGTAATTTCAAGTAGTTGTCAAGAAACTTCATATGTTTAATAAAAATACAAAATCAGTTCATGGATATATTCGAATTCGATGATAGCTGGAAAAATCAGTCCTGAGCACAACATTGACATTTTTGTTGTGAGGAAATGTTGGAACCACCACGTCTTCAATTTCAAACTGAATGAAACGTTTATCCAACAGTACGAGAATCTTGTCTAGTTTATTTGTATGTTTAAGCATAAGTTCCACAAATGAAGCCACCTCCTCAGATGTTAAATCCACAGAACATGAGGGTGTGGACTTGTTTGCTCCACATAAGGTGGTTGGCGGTGGTAAGTTTCGCAACATTTGTCATATTGATACTGAAAAGAGTTTGGTTATTGAGGATGATTTGCTCATGGTTTGAAGCAGGGGCGTTGGTTGTGAAAGCCATTGGAAAAGAAAATTTGAAGTATGCGGCTTAGGATATTAGGTTAGCTCTGATACCATAAACACTTGGAAGCTTGATAATTATTATTAGACTTGTATGACAATATATACAGACCTACTGTTAGGGTATTGAGATAATATAATTACAGAAAGACCCTTATTAACTTCTATATTCTATAAACTGTATGCAAACAAAAACTAGAAACAAGAAATCAATCATGGAACCTTCTTTAACATGAAATCAAGCATTTGTGGTTGGTCAAGACCAAACAAACACGTCACTCCAAAGTATGGTCTAATTTACCATGCATCTGTTCTGTGGTTGGTCAAGATGCAATGAAACACAATAGGGTAAAATCTCACGGTCACTAGCGGCCAAAGCTGCGCTTGCTATCCGTTGTGATGCTCTTGGTGATGGGGAGGACAACATTATGGGAGTGGAGAACCGTTTAAAGGTAACGCTTCAATATGATTTCTTCTGTCTGTAAGATAAACATTTATGATTTCTATAATGAAATCTATCCCAAGACCATAATCTAGATTTGCCTTAATTCAATCCTAACATGTTTCTAAAGAAATTAGAAACATTAACCTTGATCCATGCTTGGATGCAATCCCACCAATTGATGTTATTCTCTTTAACCTTCTCTTTTTGGTGATTTCTTTGATGGAAAGAAATCCCAAAACTTCTTTAATCTCTTCCTTTTTGATAATCAGTATTGTTGTTATCTGTTTTGGAAAAACACTCGTCTCATACAGTACAAGAAAAAATGATGTACGGGTCACTTTAATAATAATCCCAGAGGTTTGTGTCTTAACCAACACAACACTTCAAGTTTTAACGGTACAAGCCATTATATTGTATCATATATATATATATATATATATATATTAATCTATGGTAATATGTTCCATTATTATTACCTTTTACATATATATATATATATATATATATATATATATATATATATATTGATCATGAGATTAAGGATATTTGAAAACATAAGGTAAAGTATGAGGGTTATCAATACACCCAGATTCTAATTCATTAATCGAAACTGATCCATCACAATATCTTCTTTTATATTAGAATCTAAAAACATTAATATGAATTTGAACTTTATATTAAACCAATAGATACATAGGTCATATAGAATATAAAATATTCTTACACTGTCATGTTGATCTTAACAACCTAATTTAACCATGTCGTGTCATTTTTGTTAAACACGGTTGAGAAGTCTGGAAGGAAAAGATTTAGGACGTCTGTCTGGCTCAGCTAAAGGCAAACCAAAGGTTGAAGTTTATGAAAAGGATAAGAAGATTGGATCTGGTGGTCTGATCACTCCTGCTAAGGTCAGATTGATTTGAACTTGTTTGTGTCTGTAAGCTGTGGATTTGTGCAAAGGGTTAATAAGCTTATTGAATATTGATTTGTGCAGACTTACAACACTGCTGCAGACTCTCTTATTGGAAAAACTTCCAAAGCTGAGGACAGTGTCAAAGAGAAGAAGGATATAAGGAAGAAAAAAAAGAAGAAGCCAAGACTGAAGTAGAACCTGACACCGAAGAGCCTAAAATCGAGGAACCTTCAAAGAAGAAGAAGAAGAAAAAGCATGAGGAAGAAGAAACTGAAATGCCTGCAAGAAGAAATAAAAGAAGGATAACTAGAAAAAGAAGAGTTAGAGGGGGCCCTTAGGCCAAGCTAAGGAAGCAATGGCTTCCGGCCGATTTACTATAAGATCAATTTCGGCCACAAAATCTTAAAAGATCTCTTTGGTCTAGTGGTAAATTATCATGGCTTCCAACTTTTCATGCACACGACCTGAGTTCGACCAGTAGATTGGGGATTATTTTTTAAATTTGCTTCTAGCCTAAGATTTTCTAGGATCTTCTCTGAGAAGAGTGAGGCTTGAATAAAGTTTAATTTTTTTTGGGCTTATTTGCCAAATAGCTAGGAAAAAAATGAAAATTAGTTTTTTAGGAGAGAGAGTAGAGAGAGATAGGAAGAAAGAAGGGGAGAGAGAGTATGAATTTGGCTATTTAGCTGATTATGGGTTTTTGTATGGTTATAGGGTCCAATTTCCCATTTTTTTTCTTGTTTTTGTTTCTGCCTTAGATGTTATCTGAAACTTTAAGAACTGATCATTGTTTCAGTCGTTTTCCCAGAAACTTGCATTATTACTACTTGCTAATGAATTTGGCTGAAGGATCTTAACAATGTTAAAAAGGAAAACTAAGTGAACAGGATATAGAGAGGTTCTTAACTTTATACTCATTTTCCTAAGTTACTTCGCACTACCACACGTACTACGTGTGGTATATATGGCCTTTTGGTTTTCCTCGACAATTTATAAATAGTTCTATTACTATTGTGGACATATAAATATGGCCAGAGAATATGATAGTATATTTTTTGGGTGTCGATTATGCATTTGTACATGATCTTTAATTCTAAAATAATTGAATACTTTATAATTATATGAACTTGGCCCTACTTTATACGACATCACATAATACTAACCACAATTGACACAATTGTAGGCAGTTCGAATGTATTCTTGATCATCTTTTATGTTTGTGTGAACATAACTAACATTACGTTTATTCAAATACAGCTAATACTTGAAAAAATTGTCACTCTAAACCGTATCTAATAGTTTTTTTTTGGTAAAAGTATATAATAGTTGTTAGTGCTAACTTAAATAAAAAATTCATGCCACTGATGACATTCATAGAACTTTAATTTGAGTTCAGTTGTATTAAGTCAGCAATCGCCATTTAGGTTTTGTGCAGGGAAGGCTTACCATGAAAAAAAACATTTGGCTGGCCTCCCAAATAATGTATAATTTCTTAGAATATCCCTTAATTTCATAAAATTATTCTATAGAACTTAAACTATAGTTTTAGTTACATCTCCATCTGATTTGAATTTGACTTTTCTTTCTAGATGTGTATTTTATTTTAATTCATCCCGACTTTACACAATCTTAATATTATAACGAAGTTATGCAACAAGTTTATAAGCAAGCGTGGTTAGTTCAGCATATTTGATAAGGTCATTATGGAACAAATGGGCAGCGTCATCAGATATTCTAAGAATATGCTTGCGGATTTTGTCCAAACCGTGCCTTTTTTTGGTTTTCTCATATCTTTCATGAGCTATCTCAGCTCGACTCGTTATTATATGAGGTCGAACTCAGATCATTTTAATCACAATTAAATGAGTTAGCTCGTGATATATTAAAAATAATTTAATAATAATAATAATAATATAAAATGAAAATTAGAGTAATAAGAAAATGTAAACCATAATTCAAAAATCAAGTACCAAAAATAATTTTAAATTTGAAAAGAAAATACTTGAATAAAAAACTGGTGAATTTCAGAAGAAACGATGACCTAATGTGTTTATATAAGAAGTGTATATGATAATGTGTATTTTTTCTTAAAAAATTCTTAGATAAATTTCTTAAAACATAATTTCTATATTATTTATCTTACAGAATTAAAATGTAAAAACAAAATATATCTAATACACATATGTATATATAACTCCAAAAAAGTCAAGTTCATGAACTAACTCATGTTAAGTAAAGCTCATAGGCATGGGCGTTGGGGAACCTGTTCGGATCCGGATCCGATATTTCACAATAGGGGTCTAGAACCCTTTCGAGTATTTTACATATCAGATCAGATTCGGATATATTTAGTTCGGTTATTTCAGGTCGGATTTTGATATTTTAAATGTTGGGAAGAATTCAAATTCTTCATTTCCCAAATTCTTGTACTTAAAACACTTACAATTAACTTAACTGAATTTCAAATTTTTAATAGGTTGAATAATTAACTAGTTTAGAAACAAAACTTTGAAAATATAAATATACTAATTTTGTTGTTGTTATGAGATTTGGATGCAATATTGTTAATGCATGAAATAAAAAATTTGACATGCATTTTAACTGAATAGCATCTCATTTTGTCCACAATTATATGAATCCTATCTGATCATGAGGCATGTACAACATCAACATAAATATTTAAAAAAACTAAGAAAATTAAACTAGAATATAGGGTTAAAATATACACATGTTTTGTTATCTTCGGATATCCGTTCGGCTTCAGATATTGCTTGTTTAGCTTCGGATATCCAATTTCTACTAACTCAATTCCCATTCATGTATTTTGCTATTTTGACTTGGATTTCTGTTTGTTTTTTTTCGGGTCGATTTCGGGTTCAGATTCGAGTATTGAATAAAATGCCCACCCTTAAAAACTCACTCGTCTAACTCGTGAGCTAAATTAAGCTCGATCAATAAACTCATTTAATAAATGAGCCTAGAAAATATAATTTGTGCTCATGAAAGAATATACCCAACTCATGAGCTGTGGCTCGTCTTGAAACCCATAGGGCGAACATAAGTTACATAACTATCTGAAATAAAAAAATACATGATCTGAATTAACCGAATTCGTAGGGCTAACTAGGAAGATGATGAAATACAATAATAACTTTTTCCCATTTTATTGTGTACATAAATACTATTTTCTTATTTTAAAACATATATATCACTAAAATAAATATTAAAAGGATAATTCATGATAAAGTATTATTGTTTTCTAATCAAATTTCTCCATATTATTTTTCTTTACGTTTTATGTTTCCTTATTTGAATTGATATTTAAGATTAAATATTATATTTTAATATATGAAAGTAGACTTCATTTTACAAACTAATCTTAATATTAAATTTATAACATGTTAATATATGCATATACTAAAAAGAAAAATAATAGTGAGGGGTTATTATTACCTACGATAAGTTCCACAATAAAACCCCACATACTTAATTTGTTTAAATCAGAGAATGTAGTTTATATAGACGGTCAAAAATTGGCTACCATTATTATTATTTGTAATATTCTGTTGATGATTTGGAAAGTGATATTATTCGTTCTAAATTTGCCTTTAATTTTTAAATCTAGTTAAAATAATTAAAAATTAAATATCATCGATCAGTCAAATTATAAAATTTGTTGAGACTTCACCGATGATCGACACATAAGAAAAAATCACTTAAGTGACTTCTCATTTAATATATAGAAGAATTTATATTTTATAAATGATTTATATGCTTTTCTAGTTTTTTCTAGTAATGATAAATATTTTTTTTTAGTTTTTTCTAAAATATTTATTAATGATTTATAAAAAAATGTGTAGACTTATAATATTTTAATAGTTATTATAAAATTATAAAATTATTATATTTATTTATATGTTTTATATAAAAATAGGAGTTTATTATATCATATAAGTATAAAAATAATTGATCAAGCATTATTAATCTTTCTATAATTTCAAAAATTAATTACCATAAGTTCTTATTTTTAATATTATTAAAATGATTTGGCAAGCGATATTAATTTGTCCTAAACTTACCTTTAATTTTCAAATCTAATTATAAATATCATCGACCTATCAAATTATAACATTTGCTTGAGACTTCGATATTCATCATTGATATATCGGACCCCTCTTCGATTTATCTATATTATTAAAACTAAATTACTTTTTGATATTATTTGGAAACATGTATAGCAAAATAAATGAGAATTGTTTGGAAACATATATAGCAGATTAAGAAATTTCTTTTGTTTACAAAATTAACCATTGCATTACAATAAATTAAGTACTTCTTTTTGTATTTTATTTATTTACAAATTTTGCCACTACATTTAAAATAAATTTAAATTAAATAATTACAATGGTTATTGTTTCTTTGTAATGAAAATAAAACACAAACTGAAAATATAGTATATATTACTAAAACATTTTTTCAATATATTATTATCTTATTAGTTTAGTAAGAAATAAAAATTTTGAGAGTTCAATTTTCAAAAAACAATATATCATAAAATTCATAATAATCCACAGAAAACTAATGCCAAAATTAAAAATTTTAGTATGTTGTTTCATTTTAAATTAAAACATTTTGACCCGCGCAACCGCGCGGGTGTTTGTTTTCGTTTATAGTTAATTATATAAACATTTTGTTTTCACTTGTAAATTCGTATATATTATAGTAATCATATATTTACGATATGTATAGTAAATGTTTTTCAAACATAATAATATTATACAATACGTATTTTAATCAAATAGATTATTTCAAATTTTATATTATACATGTTTTTCAAACATGTATTTGTTTCTTCTTCTATATTTTATTGTTTGTTAGATTAATATTTCATTTTTAGATAAAGTAATATAAATAGAACTTGATTAAATATTAGTATACTTTAATTTGCAAATATAATATAAACTTCGAAGAAATTTTGCTAAAAACTAAACTTATAGCTTTATAAATTAATATTATAAGTAATTTTATTAAAAAGAATTTTTAAAGAATTTATGTTTAAAAAAAAATATAGTTTTAAAAATTTACATCAAAATAAATTTATCTAATATATACAGCGTGTAAATTTTGTTAGGGTATATAAATATTCCATATTACGAAAATCTGTGATTTTTGTTAATATATTGTGGATGCATTTA